GTACAGGGCTGCCTGAGTAAGCAGCCCGATTTCAGGGATCCTTCCTCAGATATTTCTAACAGGTGGCAAAGTGAGTGGCACATAGTAGGTGTTTTGATTTTTGTTTTTAAAAGAGTGAACATGAGGAATTATCTTTTGAATGCCATACTGGTTATTTTGCTTGGAAATTTCTGTAGTCTCTTCTACTTTCTAAAAAGTTTAGGTTTTGAAAGCTGGTTTCTAAATTTGTTCAAAAATCTAAGTGGGAGACCAATGTGAATATATCCATACAGAGTTAAGTTTTGTTTCTTTGCTAATTTTTCACTTCTTATTATCACTGTAAAGCCTTTCACTTCTTTTGCACTTAAGAGAAATGATGGAATCAATGTTTATAGAACTATTCTAAAGCAAGTAAAAATGCAATAAACCAACAAAGGACTTGACAGATGAAAATGACAGCACACAGCCATTAATGTCTTTTGATGGTGACAGGCAAAGCACTTTTGTTTCCCATCCCCTGGCTTCTTTGTTATTTTCTTGCTAGTCCCTAAGATCAAATAACTAACAGAACAGATTCTGTTTGAATTGCACCCCTCTTTCACAATATATGTACATGTGGGCACATGCAGGCACACATACCACAGATGCTTTGTAAGTGATGGGCTGCCCTCAGATTAGTTTGGTAGGAAAATCAGATGGAGACTCTCTAAAACCTGTTTCATGCAAGAAGGGCAAATTGTGCCCTCATTTTCTATTGTCTCTGGCTTCATCTGTAATCAGCAAATGGAGCCCTGCAGCTCACGTAGAGTTTCATCTGCAATTTGTTGCTCTCCTCTAGTTTGCACAACACTGAACCATCTCATTTCGAGATTCAGGAGTGGCAGAGGAAACCTTTGGTGGAAGATTGTAATTTGGGAGAAGGGAAAATCGAGAGCAAGATCATCTATTTTGAAGACGGCTGAGTGTTGAAGGAAATTGCTTTGGTTAGTCTGTCTCTGAGCCTCTCAGCATATGCTCTGCTGTGACCCTGCCCTCCATCACCAGTGACCTAAAAATCACATAATTTCAACTGTTCTGAAAACCTATTCCCATCTGTTGTGCATGGCTTGTGCACTTACCCCCTCTATTGCCAGCAAATATGTCTAAATCTTTTTACCTCACAGCCAGCCTTCTGTTGACTGGCTGGCTTTCTTGCTTTTTTTCTTGCTTCTTCTGTGATTGTTAAATGAATGCCTTAAAGCATTTTTCCAGATCTCTTTCTTATCCTTGTGCCCTCCTCTCCTTTTCCTCTCAGTGCTTGTTTGATAAATACTTCCCTTCTCAAATATGGGGCGTAGTCCTCTTATTTTCAAAAAGCACTGTAGATAATTCTGATGGACGTTAATTTTCTTTGAGAATCACTAGCCTGGGCCTTAGATAATCATCATTCATTGATCCTAAAAAGTTATTTTATAAACCATATAATTTTCCTCCTTACGTTGTAGCAGTGTTTTATAGACTGCTGATGTTTAAGGAAATGCTCAAATTAGTTATTAATAGTTTATTGGTGCTCGGTTAATAGATGGATATATACACACATACACATATATGTAATCATATGCACAACCCTTTAGAATATTATGTGTCTTTAATTCTTATTGCTTATAGTGGATAGTTTTTGTCATTTTCCCCCCAAGACAGCCACCGAAAAGTGAAATGACTATTTTACTGTATACATACTAACCAATCAGTAAATGTTTATACAGGGAATGAACAAACAGTGGCCTGGTTTATTTAGAAATTGTTCTGAAGGGTCTCTACAATAATTTATAAATAAAATTAGACCTTTAAAAGTAATCTCTAGTCTTTGCAAATATAAACATCTTACATAATAAAAAACTTTTAAAACACTGTTTATTTCTTCTTTACCTCTAAAGCCACCACCTCTACACACACTTTGATCCTGTCTCTCTTCCCCTCTTTCCCCCACACACCCTCCAGAGTTGAAAATTTCAATATTAATTGGTGCTAAGATGATTGTACTGCTGCTGCTAAGACTTCAGCAGGTCTCTTACAAGCTAATGTCACGGCATGGGGTCCATTTGCTCTGTGTAGCTATTCTGCAGTGCAGTGAGAATGTCTTGATTAATATGCTACATGAAAATAAAATGGATTCGGAAAAAATTATACCATACTCTCATAAATATTAATTCACATTTGTATGGAATTGCACATAATTTTCAATATACTTTGGAGCACCTTCAGTATGAAAGATTTGGTCTCTGAAGAGAACGGCATAATTTTTTTAAAAGCACAGTTGATACATTATTAAATGTCATTTGTTTATTAATCTAATACTCTACATGCATATGATGCAGGGCACTAGGTGGGTTGGGTTGCATGACAAAGAAAGGATTTTATTTTTTTACCATGTTGGGGAGTTTATATATCATTCTTAGAAGTAGTGCAATTTAATCATATTATATAGAAGCAGTCTATGACGAACTCACCTGGCTGCTTCTGGTAGCATTGCCATTATACCTGAGTGTCTTTTCATGATAGCTGTCTATCATGATTACATGTGAGGCTAAGCACTTAATAGTTTGAGCTGAGCAGATGTCTGACATAGCCGACTGTGGTAGTGGACACTAGACAAAGGATTAAATATAGCAGACTTTATTAAACATTTACCATGTGTTAGGCATAGTGTATAAGATTCTGAGACTGGAATCAATGGCCATATGCACTTTGATCTCAGCTTGTCCCCTAAACACTTCTCACCACATCCTCATTGCCTCAGGAGAGCTACCTTTCTGGTGGCAGAGGGTAGATCATCTGTGGTGATAGCAGCTAGAAGTTAGACCAGAGGCACTCATTTGCATTACAAGATTATTATCTTTTCTGTCTTTTTGCTCCAAGAATGACAAGGCCTTTTTCCTTTTCTGGGGCTTCCTCCTATTTGCTATGATCCTTCTTGTGTGCCAGCAGTGCCTGCTAGGTTTCTTGGTTTCCTGCTTCAAGTAGCTTTTCTAGTTCGCTTCACTCTGTGTTAGAGATGGCTTGGGATATTATTAAATCACTATTATGATTTGTAGGTTTGGATACTTTAATTAGTTCTTATTTATTTGTTTATCTAGCAAGTATGTGTGTATGTGTGTGTGTATCTATATCTATCTATCTATCTATCTATCTATCTATCTATCTATCTATCTATCTATCATCTATCTATCATTTGCCCAATTATATATGAAGCTCTGGGGTTACTGAGAGGAATGATACTTAGTCCCTGCCCTCATTCTCTCAAGGGTTCGTGCTACTAACCGCCTCAGGGACTTTGTACAAGCTGTTTTCTCTGCTCATACTTTCAAATCCAGGTCAGATGGTAGTCCTTCAGCCACAGCCCCCTCCTCTGGACTGGACTATTTTCCCCAGTTTTCAGCACCCTTAGCCTTTCCTTAAGAGCAGTTAGTTCAGTTCACAATTATGTATTTGTGTGATTTGATTAATATATGTCCCCTAATTCTAAGCAACATGAGGTGGGGATTACCCGCCCCCCCCCACCCCCCCCACTTCTGAGCATTATAGGACAGTGCTAAGTTTGTATTTGGCGTATTCTGGGTACACGAAAAATATTTGTTGAATGAACGAAGGCCTGAGGACATTTCTTTTGTATAATAGAAAGATCTCCTTGAGCAGGTAGTACTGTTAAGAGTCCTTGAACTAGAAAAGGGAGAGTTGCTAAAGGGAGGGCTTTTGAGGCCAAAGCAAACAGACATAAAAGTCCAAGGTCTCAAACCAATGGGCTTGGCTGATTTGGGGAAAGACATCAAGGAGTACCGTGTATGTCAAGTGGGGAGTGTTGGGATATTAGGAGGCAGTAGAAATAGATAACAGCCTCAAGAATACTGGCTATAAAAGAGAAAAAAGAGTGGTATGTTGAAAAGAAGAAATGAGTAAAGGATAATTTTTGTTCTGGTTTTATATTATTTTAAAATGTGCATTTAGGACTACAGACACTGAGAAATTATGTGAGGGTGAGCGAGGCTCCATGAAGGAGCATTTTCAGTGAAAGGAGGGTTGTATCCACTCATTTACATGACTGAGTACCAGATCCTTTTAATTTTAGTGCTTATTGTGTACCACAATTCTCAAGGGTCAAAGGATATTCACATGTTTGGAATCAAGTCATATCTAAGCCCATTTTGCACATGGGCTCAGTTGCAGTGACTTATTCCAAGTCTCATAATGAATAATGTCAGTGTCAGGGCTCAAACCTAAGTATTTTGGGATCTCAGTGTGTCCTGAGCTGCCTGCAGGTACATAACTCCACTAGGTTGTGGCCTGAAATGCTTGCCTGTAGTTTCTATAGATGCTGCTTCCTATTCCAGTACATTCATTACCTTTCTCCTACCCTTTTACCCCACCCCCAGCCTCACGCAGGAATAAATGAAAAGTTGCTTTTGATCTTGGTGATAATATTGTTACATTTTGCAAAGAAGATGGGAATTAAGGATGCTGAGAGGAACTTGCGGTAAAAATATAATGCATTAAGGAAACGTTTTAATCGTGTGAATTGACAGTTTCTTTCTTGCTGGCTCACATCCACCTGGCCCTGATACTTTTAGTCTTGTACTGCTTTTTTGAATTGTGCATGCACTTAGTACTCTTTTTCCGAAACATAATTGATGTACAATATTGAGAAGTGAATGTATTGAGCCTCCTTGGGGAATATGGTGTACTGGACCCAGCACAGAATCAGATGGAAAGCCACTGTCCCAGGCAGCAGTAAAATAATTTTTAATGGACAGATACTTTGTGCTTAGTTGAGTTTTTCACTCAACAAGAGTAGAAAGGATCTGTTTGTGGTAGCATTAGGAATTCAGAAAAATTGAGAGCTATGTTTCTTAGTGTTAAGTATTCTTATATCCCACGTTCCTGCCCTATTCTCGCCTCCCTTTTAGTAACCCCATTTACCCTGTATTTTGATCGTGATCCTAGATAGCTATGTAACCACCACTTCCCTTTCGTTCTCTTTTCTACAGAAAGATGTAGCACTTAAGCCTCAGGAACGTGTGGAGAAACGCCAGACTCCTCTGACCAAGAAGAAACGAGAAGCACTTACCAACGGCTTGTCTTTTCACTCCAAGAAGAGCCGACTCAGCCACCCACACCACTACAGCTCAGATCGAGAAAATGACCGCAATCTCTGCCAGCACCTCGGAAAAAGAAAGAAAATGCCAAAGGGACTCAGACAGGTGAGGAAGCTTCAGTTTGTTCTCTTTTATGGCTGCACAATCCCTTCCTCAGGTGCCTGTTCCTCTGTGGTTCTTCTTAACAGGTGGAAAGCTTTGTGCTTACTTCTAAAAGAGTATACCAAACCAAGCTCAGCGTTTTTATTATGATTTGAAACTTCAGCAACGTACCATTTTAGTCAGATGTGTTCTGTGTAACAAAGCTTGCTGCTGCTGCTGCTGCTGCTGCTGCTGAAGTTTAGGGCAGGCTGACTCAAGCCTTGATGAGAGTCTAGGGCTGGTAGGGGAGAGAGTCTCATAATTAGGACACGCATAACAGGCAGATTTGATCACAGACACTGTGTATTTAAAGATTCTGAGGTGCTAAACATGGTTATCTGCATGTGAGCAGTGCCTTGCACAAGATTTATATCTTCCAGGGAAGCGCAAATATTGTGGCATGTGGGAGAGCAGCAGTGAAGAAATGAATTTGCCTTTCAGTTTTTTAGTTGTTCTCCATAGCCCATAATTCATGACGATCTTTGTGATCTGCTGATTGTATGAAAGTCTGGTAGTTGGGCTTACTGGTCTGTTAATAATTAGGTTTCAATGATCCACAAGAAAATATAGCTCTTGGCATTTGGGGAGCCTTTCTGCCTGTGGAAATCCCCACATGAGATGGATTAATAATGAGAAATGAAGCTGCTTATAGCAGTTTTTCTGCACAAATCCAGAGGCTTTAGTGCCTGCTCAGTTACCTGTGTTTTGTTTGTTTTTGGAGGGACTTTTGGGTGGGGTTAACTATCATTTGAAGGAAGCAGAGCAGGTGCTCTAATTAGAAGCTGAACAGGTAATTTCTACTTTGCAGATGTTTCTGCAGAAGGAGAATACCTGGGATTATACAAAGCAGTGGTTCCTAAACATTACAGATCATTAGAGTCATATCATGAATAAAATACACATTCCTAGCCCTTCCCTAGGACCTAATGAACCAGATTCTCTAGGGGGTAAAGCACAGATATTTGTAGTCTTAGATATTTCCTATTTGATAATGGTCAGGCCACTTTCAAAATCATTCTAGTAAAGCATCAAGAGTATATTTTTGGTGATGATTTTTAGTTAAAAGATTGGAAGGGCCAAAAGCCTCAATAAGATCTAGTGGACAGTTTTGGGCCAGAGTTCAACCTGCTGTGTCATAAAGGATATACTCCTGAAATGACATTTAGAGTGATGGGTTTCAGCATGGACTCAGAGGGTCTCAAGGGAGTGTACCCAAATGTGACTCTCAGGGCAGTTTTTTAAAGATACATTTGTGTCCTAAAATAAAATGCCAGATCGAAGTTATAATAATAATTATTAACATTTATTTAATGCATTCATGTTATAGTCATTCAATGAGGGAGTTTGTAGTATAATCAATAATTCTCATAACAACCCTAGCTAATGGATAATATGGTTACTTTACAGATGGAGAAACTGGAGTTCCAAGAGATAAAGTGACTTGTCTCAGGCCACTTAGCAGGGAGGGATAGAACTAGGGTTTAGATCCAGATTTCTCTAGATTGCTCTGTTATTCCTGTATGTTCTGCCTCTTGATTGGGATAAGAATTAGACATGAAGAAAAAGAGAACTCCAAGTCATTAGATGTGGGGCATCTATAAGTATTTCTAGAAACTGCATGAGTAGTTTGGTCAGAGGAAGTGATTTTGGTCATAGAAATGGCCTATGTAGGCACAAGAAGAAACAGGATGAAATATTAAGTTCAGAGAGTAGAGAAAGAGCTGGGAAGGTTGGAAGCAATCACATTTGGATGTGGTTTATTTTTATTAAAAATTTTTTTTTTTCAGACACAGAGTGGAATGAAGGAGGAAGGGCTGGGTCCCATAAAGGGTGATGCTCCTGTGGTATTTGTGACTCCCATCTCATGCCTCTTGGTGCGAGATAATGTGAGAAAAACAATTATTCCAAGTGGAGAGAAGTTGCAGTGTAACCACCACTTCTCTCCTCAGGCCCTTTCTCCCAAAAGGGTAAGCTGCTTACCTTTCAGGCAAGAAACCTGAAATTTAATTCTGAGCCCACACTGAGCCATGGTTCCTTATCCTTGACTTTTACTCCCAGAGCTGATCTGACCTTTCTGACAGAGGACAGAGGATTCTCTGTCCTCAAGATTCTTCTTTCTACTTTTCCTCTGGTGAAAGAATTTATAGTCATAAAAGAAGGCTAGAACTGTATGTCTCAGATTTGAATAGCTTTTGGTTCTAATAGCCTTCTGGTCCTAGTGATATTTTAAATCATAGCTATCCTTGTTTTAGGTAAAATATTTGAAAAGTAGTTATATTGACTCATGAATCATGGAGAAGGAAAGACTAAATCGTATCTCTGGTCTGTGTAAGAGTTTTAAAAACAAGTGTTATTTTCTTGTCTTCAGTGTCGATGCCCAAATATGCTATCCAAGTCAAGTGTTACCTTTCTAATAGGAAGGGAAGCAGAGGTTGATAATGGACATAAAGCTCGAATACTTTTATTTGCAATATTCTTAGAATCACATGTGCTGCTATGAAACCCTGAACAAATCACTTTTGCTACTCGTATATAGCGTGAGAGGTTTAGATGAGAAGATTTCTCAGGCTCCTTCCTCTGAGTTCCATGGGTCTTTAAATTTATGAATAACACAGAGATATATAGTGTTGTTGAGGTCTGTAAAGGAAGACCATATTTTGGTCTGAAGGTAATTTAGTTTTGGAGTCTAACTTATTGGCTTTGTGAAAACATTTAAAGCAGAGGAGCTGCATTACTAGTGAGAGGGAGAGGCAAGGTTAGTTATGTGTCAGCCCAGACAAGTGTCATTTATTGTGTGATCATTGGTAAAAGGCGACACATGAGTGTTTAATGGCCACTGTTGATGTTCAGAAACTTGTGCTAAGAATATTTCCAATTGCTTTCCTATCATGATAGATGCCTGTATACATCACAATTAACTTTTTCCCCTGCCCTTGCTTTTTATCAGATAAAGTAACTGAATCTGACCATCATAGCTGGAGGGGGACCTTGAGATGAGAGTGGGCCTTGAGGAAAATTTCTAAATTAATGGATTGTTGTTGAGTGCCTCTTATTGAAAGAATTATAATCACAAGAACTACAGATGAAAGAAGGCAGTATGAGTTGAGAAGTTAGTCTTTATTTTTGACTTGGTGAGAGTGGATTAGGTTTGCATTTTATTAGGAAATGGTACTTCCTGAGCAGGCAACTTAATGCACAGCTTTCCTGTAATTATGGGAAGATGTTACTTCTTAGTGGAGAGGAAATAATAGGATTTTTTTTTTTTCTGAGAATCTGTTGACAACTAATCTTTTTACTGTGAGAGTACAATTAAATAGTTTTATAAGAGAGATATATAGTTCTAAAACCAAACTGCTTTTTTTCTTTTCTTGCCTGATTAGAAAACCTCAATTCTCATGTTTTTTCATACTGTTAAAAGAAAGCTTTTAACTGATACTTAACTATCCCAATGGAAATTATTTGTTGGATTATATTTTTAAGTATAAATATATACTGACTTAGAAGATGCAGAGCTGGCAACTGTCTTGTAAAGTGGTTGCATTTTTTTATATGGCAGATTTAAACAGTCCTTAATTTCCAAAGGAGTTTGAAATAACGAAGAAAGGAACAAAT